TTCGTTAAACGCTCACTTGTTTCGTGTTGGGCTGGGAGACAGCAATCTCTGTGAATGTGGACAAGGTTACCAAGACACCGATCACATCCTTTGGTCTTGTGCTGAGCATCGTGGAGTCAGATCTGAGCTGTGCGATTCCCTTCGGGCTCGAGGTAGACAACCTAATGTTCCAGTTCGGGATATTTTGGCTAGACGTGATCTGGAGTTTATGAAACTCATATATGTTTACTTTAAGAATACTAACCTTAGATTGTAAATTTGATTAACCTTGTGTTTAGTTTGTGTATTGTGCGTGTAGTTTTTTTTTAATGTTTGTTTTCAAGATGTATAGAAATAAGTTCATGTTTTAGGATTAATTAAATATTTGTATAATAAATCATATTTCAAACCTCCTTCTCTCTTTCCCCATCCAAAAAATTGTAAATCTCCACTAACCTCGAGACGACCGCGAGTAACCGGTTCAATTCCTTTAACTCTAGATTTAAGACATTATTCATGTATAATGCAAATGATAACTCGGCTCTGTAAAGTTTATTCGATTGAGCCTGTACAAATAAATTAATATATAAAAAAAAAAAAAAAAAATATTCAAAATAAAAACAAAAGATAAGATAGTCGATAAGATTCTAGATAGAAAATTAGAACACATTTATTTTGCACTTTATGACCTGTATTTTCAAGCTTTAATTAAAAAAAAAACAAAAAATCGTTATTTTATTCTTTTCTCTTTGTTACGCAACGCAATGTTTAACGATAGAGGTGACTCCCAATAAGAATTCTCAGCATTGGACCAACCATCATATTTCCAAAGTTGAATTAAAATCGAAGAGAGTCATGTCTCACCAATTCGCGATTCAGCGTGGAAATACTATACACTGAAGTCTTTTTTTACACGGTTTTTTTTTTTACGCGGTTTTTTTTACACGGTTTTTTTTACACGGTTTTCCACGATTTATACGGATTTCTCGACAACGATACAACCTATCGACTTGATTCCAATCACATTATCCGTTTCAAGCTATTTGTAATCGAATGGCATACTTAAAAAAAAAATCACAATTTTAGGTGTATATACAGAAATTTTTAAAATATGTCTATATGGACCATATCATGCTTTAATTACAAATGGCATAAAAATCCGATTTTGACGTAGGACTACGTCTTTGATTTCTATATGGGGGTACACTTTGTGAAAACCGAAAATGGAACATGTAACAAATTAAGAAAGATTTTGAACGTTAATAACTCAGCTACCCCTGGTCCAATTTCAATAATTTTATCACCAATCGATCAGAAATATGGCTCCGAATGTTGATTTTCAACAAGAAACTATTGAAAAACTGGTAAATGTTCAGCACTGTCCAAAAACGTCGAATTAACTAACAAATCCACCAATTACCTACATGCATATGCTGCTTCCCCAGCACAGTCGTCAGAGAGTAGTAAGTAGACGAAACAAGTCGAAGTGGCATTCGCCTCCGATTCTCAGGCGCGTGCTAATAGGGAGGATGGAATTGCGTAATATTTTACACACTCATCGTCATATTCAGAACCAAACGCAAATTCTTCGAGATAACCACCATCCGTCGTCTGGCTCGCCGTGGCGGTGTCTGACGTATCTCCGGTTTGATTTACGAGGTGTGCTGAAAGTGTTCCTGAAAAATGAGATCTGTGATGCTGTCACCTACACTAAACACGCCAAGCGTAAGCGGCCATGGATGTCATCTACGTTTTTGAAGTGACAGAGACGCACTCTGTTTGGTTTCAGAGGTTAAATCATCACCAACATTGGAAACAAAACGGCTCTTTTCAGGGCCACCAAGCTTATTACAGTAAAGAGTAGTCAATTTCCTCATTTTCTGGCAGATTTTTAGGTTTTCCACAGGAAATCATGAGACAAATTTACTCATCGCTGAGTTCTTACACTTTTGGCGATTATGAGTGAACTAAACTCAAATTTGGGGTATTCTAATTCGCCGTGTACGCAAAAAGAAAATAGCCAGTGTCGCTACTTGATAGCAAACTACTCATAATGGGAGGAGTCTTTGTAGCTTTTATACCACTTGGTTGCACATCGTTCTGCTTTAACCTAAAAAGATATAAAGCAGCGCTGCTGTCTGGTATCAGCTCATTTTCGCTTCGGAGCAATAGTAGCAGTAGGTCGTGGCAAAGGAGGTGCCAATCGTCATCGCAAATTCTTCGAGATAACCACCATCCGTCGTCTGGCTCGCCGTCGCAGTGTCTGACGTATCTCCGGTCTGATCTACGAGGTGTGCTGAAGGTGTTCGTGGAAAATGAGGTCCGTGATGCTGTCACCTACACTAAACACGCCAAGCGTAAGTGGCCATGGATGTCCTCTTCAATAAAACGGCCCCTTTCCGGGGCATCAAGCTTACATCGGTAAAGAGTTGGAAAAGAATTTATCTATGCTTGTTTGTCCATATTCAGAACCACAAGCCCCCAACGACCACACAAACTTGGAAGCAGGGGTGCAAGTGATTTTGATTGATTCATGGTAGCCAGCAAACCGCGAAATCCGGGAATACCGGGAAATATCCGGGAATTCCGGAAATACCGGGAAAGTAACCGGGAAAACCGGGAAAAACCCGTGAATTCTGCAAGAGAACCGGGAAAATAAATTAACCATATCATAGGAACAAATTTTTTCATCAGAATTTCAGAATAAACCATTTAAACAGAGTGATCCTTTAGCAAATGAATGTCTTGCTCTATTTGTTGCATGATTTTCTTCAGTATACCGTCTTATTGTTTTTAGAATTTAATCACTCAGCAATATTGCAAATTGATTTTTGTCGTTTCAATTTCAGATGTAAAGTGCATGGTCCTCTAAAGAAAATATTGAAGATGCTGGAGTTTGGAAACAAATATTTTATAAAAACCGAAACTGAATTATTTTTTCCGGGGTTTTAATTTTTCGTTGTTCAAAATTCTCATGATGAATTCCAGAATTAACTTGGAATTCTGCTCTGAATTATCTTGAAATTGTTCTGAAATAAACCAGAAAACACTCCGCGTAATAATTACCGTTGAATTCTTTTAGGAATTTTCTTCCAACCCCTTCTAAGAATTTATTGGAATCCTTCATATAATTCCCGTTTCCGCCTATCTGGAGACTTTGATTCCTTTAAAAATCTTTTCAAACATTTCTTTTAACTCTATTCAAAACAAAAGAAATCTTTCGAAAATTAATTTATAAACCCCTTGGAGTATTTTAAAGAATTTCTTTCTAATTATCAGCAAATTTTTTGGAATCAATTTTGTTTGGGTTATGTGATGAATCATTCGCACTAGGGTTGAAATTATTGCCAGAACATTTTAAGAGCTCTGTTTCCGATCATAATTCTCTTGGAATTCTTCTTAAAATTCATCTGTCATGTTCCTCACGATGCCCATACAAATCTCATCAGAACCACGTAGGAATTTTCTGCAATGTTTTATTTTTATTTTCACAATTCTTTTTTAAATCTACTAAAATTACCTAACAGTTTAATTTAGAACTTGCATTCTTCTTCAAAGAAATCCTTCCAAATTCATCTAACAATTTCTATGGATTTCATAAATAATTCTAAGAATAATTCTGGAAATCTGCTCTTCTCCTTCGAAAACTGTGTGGGAATCCTTCTCAATATTTGTTTTTAATCAACACTTTGAATTCTTTTAAATTTTACTAAAAATTCCAGGGTTTGTCCGCCAGATTCTACAGATTGCTATGTAATTTGTTATTACCCTTAAAATGCTTCCAAGTCTCAGAGCGTGACAATTATGACTCCACGACTCATAAGTATGATGTTTTTTTTGATTAATCTGTGATCTTGAAACAAATTCAAAATTTCACATTTTAATTATTGTTTCTCCAAATCTTGCATCACGAAGCATGTTATTAATCACAAATTTTGAAGAAAAGTTCTAGTTTCAGACTCTACACAAATTTCAAAGCTCCAGAATCTTGGGAATCTTCTTAAATCACATTTTTTTATCCTATCAGTAAATTTTGTTTTTTTTTTTTGTTGCATATTAACAACCGGGAATTTTTAAGATTTGAACCCGGAAAACCGGGAAAAAACCGGGATTTTCAAAATGAAAATTCACTGGCCACCCTGTTGATTCTCGTAATCAACTTTCTTTTTGAAAAAGATTACTACAAATTTGGATCGCCTACAATTCAAAACCGGAAAGAGTTGAGATAATAGATATTTCAGGCATAACATTTGATAACGGCACAAAAGCATTTGTAAACAAACCTTCTTAGGCCCTTTACACGCGAACCAAAGTACGCCCACGCAAACCAACAACATCATGGCATAGGGGCAACTATCACCTTTCTGTAAGTGGTATTGGTTTGCGTGGGCGTACTTTAGTTCGCGTGTAAAGGGCCTTAGAATGTTTGTTTAAAAATGCTTTTGTGCCGTTATCAAATGTTATGCCTGATTTGATCAATTAAAAGAACTTAATGCTCTTCACATTTATTCCGTCCACTAGCGGTCCTACGTCAAGCTTCCGTTTGTGCCCCTAGGCACAGACCCTTCTACTTTTTTTAAAAACATTTAAGCATGCGAAAAATCAAAATCTCGTAGGTTTTTTTTTACACGGTTTTTTTTTTACACGGACCGTATCCCCCGTGTAAAAAAAAGACCTGAGTGTATTCTTTGCTGCACACAGCCTTAATATTTCTGACAAAACTCAGGTTATCATGACAGATCCTGACGCAGTAGGTCAATTTGTTCCATTCGCGTTATTTCCAAAGATGAAAATGTCATGATTACCTGAGAATTGCCAATGATGTAAATATTTACAGGTCGTGGATTGAAGAATAATGCTGCGGGATGTCATTCAATCAATCAATCAGAATCAATCCAGCACCTGAGAGATATTATTTTTTATTATCACAACAATGAAATTGCGTTCGCCAGGGAATCACAGCATTCAAAATCTGAATCTCTTGCAAAAAAAAAAAAAACTTCGGAAAAACGTTATTTATCTCAATCTAGGTATCCTTTCCGATCGAAGTAGTTCAGCAGGTACTCCATTCTACCTTGATACTTTGGATGGCTAAACATGTTCCGGCGAAACTCTAAGGCTTCCGGCGTAGACCCCAGCAAGTTACCCAAGTCCGCATTTGCCGTATCCTCGATCAGCCGCAAGGGAATCAGAAAGGTAACGAACATTATTCCCACGAATCCCTTGCGTAGCATTTCTATCTGAATGTCCAACAGAGTGGGAAGCGGTTTACTGTAGTTCAGCTTCGATAGACAGTCAACTAATTCTGAGTGATAATACTGAATCAGCAGATCAAACTGCTCCGTGGTGACGTCATCCGATGAAGAGGTAAAAAATAGATAGCTGAGATCTATCGCCGGGGAGCCGTAGAATCCTACGGCGTAATCTACTAGAATACTATCAATCGGGTTACCATGCTCATCGAACTTGTACATGGTGTTGTTGACCCACAGATCACCATGGTTCAGGACGTTGAAAGTGGAGTTGTCGCGTGTGTAGCCATGACAGCCCTTCGGAATGACGGTTTTCTCTAGATCGAACAGCTTGTTGGCAATCCTATTGGCAGTGGTTGGCCATTTTTGAGCTTGTTCTGCACAGGCGACCATGCTGTTTTGGAACAGAGGGTAAAAGTGTTGCACCTCTTCGTTGATGTTTCGATAGTTGTGATCTTTCATGGTTTCTTCGTCCTGCAATATAATGCTGTTTAGAATGGAGGTCAGACGAAAGTGTTTATTTATTATGTGTGATCTACCTGACTGAACATGACGGCAGTCGCGGCATGAAACATTGCGATTTTTTCCAGGACCATCTCCAGCTGCCGATAAGTGAGACCTTGCCTTCGATCGGCTGATTTGAATCCTTGCAAAGCAAGATCTTCAAAGACAAAATGTTTGGGATTCGTTGAACTTATAACGTGTGCTCTGAAAGATGAAACAATTATCGATTAGCTATCACATGATAATTGACTGATCAAACTTACGTTGGAGCTAGTTTTTTCGTGTAGCCAATGGAGGCCAACAGTTGCTCGACCCGTGGCATTACGTTTTTGTAAACGGCAATTTCCCTATGAAATACGTCGTACTCTTCCAACATATCAGCCATGCCTTCACTGACCAGCGAAGATTTGACGATGTACGTTTGAGTTCTGGGAACAATTTGAAGATCATTTATTAATCAAGGCCAATTATTGGAGGTCAAGTTTTTCGTCTAACCTATGATTGTTGCTTCCCGTGACATAGTTGATTTTCACACGCAAAATATCACTGGAGTAGTTTTCTCCTTTACCCAGTGCAGGCACTACACTGAAATCCTGTACTCGGATGGAACTTTCACACTGATCTTTGCGTAGAACTTCCTCCAAGTATTGATTTGTGATGAAGGGATATTTTTTCGAGATAGTTTCGGGGTCCATTTTTGAAACTTTGAATATATTCTATGGTAGGGCCAGCCGGAGATAATGTTTCTACTGAGATCGGGCAGAAGTATTTAACCTATTATTTTACGCTAGAGGGAGGTATATAATTGATAAGCGAATAGGGTATATCTTACTGTCAGTGATAGTGAAGCTGATTGCCGGTATGCGAATGACAATGTTGTGAAATACTTACGGCTATTCGGTTGTTGGGTTGTACATTTACTGCCTTTGCGTTTGTTCCACACGGAGGCCGAAAAATGTGAGAAGCACATCATAGATATGTGTATGTTTGAAGTATTTTGAGCATGTATTGTGTTTGGCTGATTGAACTCCTAAGCGATTTTTGCTTATATTTGGGGAAGTCTAGACCCATCTTGGTGGTGGAGAATGTGAATAGCACGTGCTTTTTTAGCGGTATTGGTGGTTTGCTTATTTCTTGCTTACACGCGTGTACGCAAGCAATGATGTGCGTATTTTGGTGAATGAATGGTTAAAGTTTTTTTTTGTGTTGAGAGGCTAGGGTGGATCTTAAAATAATATACCCCACTATCGGAAATTAAAAAAGGTGAATTATTTTATGGGGATAAGGGAGAACGTTCAAAGAGTATTCAATTCAAATTTAGTGCTAAATGCTTAGGGCTATAAAAAGAAACAAACGTTGATTTTCGATGGTGTGTATTTATGCAACCTCTTGCCATTTTTGGTTTTAGAATTTTGCACGTGCATTCGTTAAATGCAAATATTTCTTTGTGAAGGCTGATTTTAAACTGATTCTTGGTCAAGAATTTTATACTGTAACTGGAAGAGAATAGTTCAGAACGACTTAAGCAAAACAAAATCTGTCGAAATTATTGAAAACTATTTGGTGGGGCAGGTGATTTGCACTGGTGAGCTGAAGAGTAATTATCTTTGTGACAGCTGGCATCATTATCCAGAATATTTACGTGAGCGAGTGCTTGAATAAATGTGTATTACCTTTTAATAAAAACCACTGTAGCCAAAAACTCATTATACTTCGACCATTTTAAACATATCTAACAATCATCAAAAGAAATTCTCAATAAGAGTCAAAAATAATCATTCATTATCATTATCATTATCATTTCTACTCGAACTTCGACAATGCGTTCAACAGTCGTCCCAGCCCTGTGTTTGAGTTAGGAGAGGGGGTCTTCCAAACTCCAACCGTAGGCAAGTACAATCAGCAAGCAACAACTTCTCTGCCTGAAAAATTCATGGTTTCCAGAGTGCCATCGTATATGTGGTCTGAAAATGACAGTAACAGTATACCAGCCCCACCATGCCAGAAGTCGAGACGCACCACAGAAAATTTAACGGAAGCATCCAGATCTTCTGATCTAGTCTTGCCAAAGAGTGACGGCGTACACCAATATGATGAATCAATTTATGTTTGTTTATTGAGATGGACTGCCGTTGGCATCATGGAAACCCCCGAGCCCCCCACCACAGTCGAACCGTTCCCGCCAACGACCTACAACCGTCCCGGCCCTGTGTTCGGGCCTGGTGAAGGGGTCTTCCAACCACAGTATGACCAATGTAATTCTTCTGCTTGATGATTTTAATCAGCCTGTGCCTATCTGGTCACCCTCAGGCTAGGGTTATGCGTTTCCAGATCCGATTGCATCTTCAACTACTCCTGCCGGCACTGCTTTTCATGGACTGAGCCAGATAAAACTTGTTCCCAATTTGCAGTCTCATTTTCTTGATTTCGTTTTTGTAAGCGAAAGTGCTCTTCTGGACTGTGTCGTCACTGAAGCGCCTGCCGTCGTCATTCCTCTTGACAATTTCCACCCTACTTTGGATATATCTGTCGCGAAAAGATCTCAAATTCGGGGATTCTGATGGTTTGAGAATACGAAGAGGAAGGAAATTGGTCTGTCGTAAAAAAATGTTTCTCGGCAATGACGTTCCATTGACAACTGAGGACAAATGCAGCCTATTTTCTAGGCACTTTTTGAGCGTCTTCTTGAATGACTCACCATCGTATTCACAAGCCGAAATTGAGCGAACCGTCCGTGATGTGCCAACCGACGTCGTAAACATGGAAGTTTTTGCCGTAGATGTACAAATGGTTCTCTCTGTGATAAGTAAAACCAAATCATCATTTTCACCAGGTCCGAGCGTTATTCCATCGGGTGTCCTGAAAAAATACTCTGATATCTTAGCTGCTCCGCTGTCGTTGCTCTTCAACCTGTCGCTTTGTCAGCAGAAATTTCCCGCGCTATGGAAACAATCTACACGGTAAGAAAAAAGTACCCAACGGAAAGTTCACTTTTACCTACTATTGACTAGTTTGTCTCCTTTTCTCCTTCTAATGTTGTCAAAAACGGAGTAGCAAAACCACCCAACAGGGGTAGTAAAGTGTGGGAACCCAACGTTGAGTATAATCATATTTACCTACTGTTGGGTACAACTAACTTACTTTTGGTTAAAAAGCCAGTGGAAAATTCCATACGAACTGCACACAAGTAAATGAAAATTACTTTGACCCGCTTTACCTACTTTTGGGTTCCTGCACTATAGTGCCTAGATGAGTGAAAAGAACTTAATTTTGGGTACTTTTTTCTAACCGTGTACTATGTTCCCTGTTTTCAAGAAAGGAAACAAACGCAATGTGGAAAACTACCGTAGGATTACCTCGCTCGGGGTTGAATCTAAGGTGTTTGAGTCGCTGATAAGTGAGAGATTGTTTGCTTTCTGCAAGCATTACATAAGTATCTGTAAACATTGCTTCTTTCCTAGCAGCTCCGTAGAAACGAATCTCGTTAGCCTTACGTCGTTCTGTATGGAAAATGTATGCAATAAACTTCAAGTGGATGCCATCTACACTGATCCTAAAGCTGCGTTTAATAGAGTTGTGCACGACGTTCTGCTAGCAAAGCTTGAAAAAATTGGATGTTGTGCTTCCTTCTGCAGCTGGCTTAGATCGTACCTCGTACAACGTGTACGAATCTGTTAAGGATAAGCAAATAGGGTAATCGAGTTAAATGGAAATTACAAATCCTTCTCTCTTTCTGGATTTTAATTGTGATATAAACGCACGGAAAGGAGCAACTTGTAGGCAATTATGGGCCTTTGTATACAATATTTGCCACTTTTCAATTAATGTGTCAGAACTTTAAACGGTTTATAATTTAAACTTATATGATATGTACCGCTCCATTTATGTGCATCATATTAAACAGAAATGTACTCTACTTTTTCGAAACGTGTATGTTCCATGTGAAGTTCCAAACGAGCAAACTAAATAAATGTTTATTATTGTTCCCTCTAATAAACAAATATGTACAGCTATCCCCCGAAGAACGCGTTACCCACTGAGTTCTACCCACTACTATCATGAACGAATGGTAGCATATATGGAAGAAGTATTCCAAAAATGGATTGAATAATACCCCAAACATGTCATTAAGCTCTTTCTTATGGTTATTTTTATTAGGGCCCTGAACCGGTGGACTGCAAGTATTGCATTCACTTCAGAAAATAGTTTAATTGAAAATATTATTTCACTTTATTTAGTGAATTTTAGTATTGATAATTTATATCAAGCACTTGTTTAAAGTTGTTTCAGGTTCTATAGTTGTTTTTATCGCCCAGAAGCATCATTACTAACATGAAATTGTTCACTTCTGAATAATAGTCATCAGATGCTAAAGAAAAAAAAATGTGGTTGCCGTTTACTCTGGTGAACAATCAATCACAATCAGTGCTGCTTGTTCGCAACATTTTCTTTTTGCGGGACTCCTATTATAATATCGACTCTGTATTCCACGATCTACATTACGTTTGAGCCATTTTTAGTTTGCACAGCGTACTAATTTACAAGTGTTCAGATTAAAAATGGTCAGATTACCGGGGGTCCACAGTACCTTTATCAACAGAAACAAAAGAAGTTCAAGATATCAAGAAAACACAATATTTTCATCAAAAATCCCTAATTTCTTTCTTTCAGAGTTTAATCCGGAAAAGACCCACCGAACGAAAAGTTTATTTTTATTAATTGTATGACGTCTCCTATGTTCGAGAATTACAAGGTGATTCAGAATGATAAGAACTTTTCTGTATTTAATATTTGCAAGATTCTTCAAGATTTCACATAGAACTGGCTGTGGTCTATCGAACTCCGCTGGGCGTTCTAACTCCGTCTTCTCATATGATTTATTGAGGACATGTAGCCACCCACATTAGATCCGTTTGCGTTGCGTTGACGTAAATTTGACAGTTAGACAATAGATTTAGCTGTCATTTTGCCGCATTTTGATTCTCTTCGTCGATTTTCTCTTTGGATTACCACGACCATACAAACACATTTCGGGTATTTTGTTCCTTTTTCGGGCTTGCATCCAAAACATCAAACATAAGAGATAATGTTTTTGCTGCTGAGTTATTAAGAGAAAGTCAATGTAGATAACAGAACAATGTTGATAGGACTTATTGAAAAGGTACGCGAGAAAATGTTTGATATCGAAATGCATACACATTTTGTGAACCACATTGAAGAAGACCGGAAAAAAAATTGCTAATCATGACAAATGGTCAACTGAAATCCAATTTCATCAGTTGTTTACAGGTGAATGCAGTTCTTTCTATAGTAAAAATGCCGTCAATCAATCATCATCACCTCCATGAAAGATGGCAAATATGGAATGACACTGTCAATATTTATTCTAATTAATGTGGACTTGCAATAGGTATATGTATTTCTACAGTGAGCGAATACTGTTGTTCTTCAAATGGACACAAAGCCGTACTTAAAAGATGCCCATATCAATATTACGTTATGCATCAGAAGGTGGGAGGATCTCGCATATTAAGACATGCATTAGGTAGGGTAGGTGTACCGGTTATTACCATACGTTCCTATTATGGTGTGATCCTGTTTTGGATGGAATTCTCATAGGCCATAATTGGAACACACCATAATAGGAACGTATAGCCATAATTGGTACATCTACCCTGTAGGAAATGTGTGGTGGAGTTACGTTATATTAGAACAAGCCCAGAGATACTTT